ATCGGAAACTTATCCTTCTTTGTGACCGCGTTCAGTGCGCGATAGTCCTGGACCAAACGTAAACTCCCATCTTTCTTACGGACAAAGAAGACGGGGGTGGCTGTAGGACTCTTGGACGTGCAGATGCAGTCTTTGTCTTCTTGCTCCATGATCCAAGCTTCAAGCGAGTTCCGCTCATCGAGGTTGAGCGGGTACAATTTGGCCGGCTTGGGGAGTGAGGCTCCAGGGACTAGTTCGATTGCATGATCGTAGGGCTTCCGTGTTGGCTTTCTTTCCGAGGCTTTCTTGGAAAAGACATCGCCATACTGCCGGTATTGTTCTGGTACATAGTTTGACCAGTATTCACGGTCTTGTTCGCCTTTTGCTGCAGGGTTGGTATTCTTTTTCTCTTCTAACCTGGCTCGCATCTGATGAGCACTCGGGTCATCTGAGAAGTTCACCCAGTGAATAAACTGATCGGTGCTCTCCCAGGATTCAGGGCCGAGGTCACCGTACTGATCTTGTGCAACATCTTCCACTCAGAGAAGTTGCAAACTCCGTAATTCTTCGTCCTGCACTGTGTGCCTGATGCATGTTGAGGGACAGCGTGTGAACTCAATGTTTCCTGCATTCCAATCAAGTTCAGGGTTATGTTCACGTAGAAACACCATGCCAATGATGATGTCTTGCCGCCCGATATCTGTGACAAGAAACGACTGCCAAGCGAGGTGATCTCCAATACGGAGTAAACAACGGACCTAGTGTGTGATCAACCCCTTCTTATTCTCGGTGGCATCTGCATTGAAAACTCGCACTTCACGAGAGAGGCGTCGTAGGGTGAGTCCGTATTCTTGAACGAATTGGTGGTGGATAAAACAAGAGTAGGCTCCTGAATCGAGGAGAGCTTCTGACTGAACTTCATGCGTACCTTGAGTGAGGGAAACTTTAAGATCGAACGAATTTTGCGGGCGACGTGCTGATGCGAGATAAATAACATTCGAACGCGGAACAAAAGAGTCCTCTAGGTCTACGCTATGATTACAGAGTCGGATACTTTGGTCAGTCTTCAAAGTACCCGTTCCAGAAAATCCTCCTCAGATTCCTTGACCTCGACGATGCGTGCGGCGGTCTCGGTTTCCGGTGCCTTGCCTTTGTCTTTTCCTTTGGCGGTTTCAAACTCCTCGAGGGCCCTGCGGATGTACTCCCATTTGTCTTCATCGGCCGTGTCCATCGTGTGTACCTTGGTCGGAGCGGCCAGTTGCTTCTTCATGTCCGGGAGTTCGTAGTAACCCGTGTACTGAGGGTTGCGACACTTCTGGCCTGTCGTAAACTTGTGCTTGCCGCAGCGGAAACAGAGCTTCTTGTTGAGCCATTCGAGTTGTTCCTTAGAGAGCTTTTCCGGCTTGCGCATTGCGTC